GATCATACCTTTAATCTTAGCACTCAAGGAAGCAGAGGCAATTGATCTCTTTGAGTCAGCCAGTGCTACATAGTGAGATCCTGTCTTAAAGCAAACAAACTCAAAGGTGTGGGAAACCATCCAGTTTTATATTTTGGGAAACAGACTTTAGGAAGAATAAGAGAAACATTCCATCCAAGATCACAGAAAAGTATCACTCTTCTCAGACCCTAGGGAAAGTCCTCAACCGGAATGTACCTTACTTTCCTATGGAACTTTATTCCAAGTGATTTCCCTTATATGATTGTGTTTTACTGACCCTAAGAGAGTTCCATTAAAGAGTTACCCCAATTTATAAAAGGACAGATGGAAGAAACCCAGTGAAATGAGCCAACCAAAATTGAAAATTGCTTTCTCAGACTCATTTTTCTTTTCATAAAATTGGGATCTGCAGGGTGCAAGATAAACATTCAGATCTCCTGAGTCACCAGGAGGGTTCTGATTTACAGGATGGTGCCTGAGAATACCCAGGATCCCCGATGTTATCATTTGAAGGAAACTCATCACTGGAGGCAGAGGGGAGGCATATGCTATGCCTTTGGGAACATAAAGTAGGTGTGTGCCACCCAGGGAGATAAGACCTGTTTCTAGTTCAGTGCACACAAACTTTTTTTTGTAGTTCTAAGAACTATGATTGCATCAGTAGCAATAGCAGCAATAGAAATGCTTCTGGTAACTGAGGTTCAACTCCTCTTAGGATGAAAATGGGAAAGTAGGGAGGCGCGATAGTTCAGTGGATGAAGGCATTTGCCGGAGAGCCTAATAACCTGAGTTCTGCCTGTGGGACCCACGTGGTGACAGGAGAGAACAAACTCCTACAGTTGTTCTCTGACCTCCACATACACGCTAGTGTGTACATGTAAAAAAAAATATTTTAAGAGATGAGGGGGAGAGTCTGTCTAGTAATTCTGAGGGTCTAAATCTACTTTGAATTTTATTAACATTTGAAAATATTTTTAATTATTTCATGGTCCTGGGGATTGAATCAGGCTAGATCCCCCGACCTCTATTTCGTATTTTGACCCATGATTTTACTAAATTGCCTGGGTCAGGTTATGATGCTGTTCATAAGGTAGGATCTGCAACTCAGCATTCTCCAGGAATTGAGAGGCTATTTTCTCTGCCGAGCCAACAAGACCTCTTTTGAAAAAGGGCTAGAGCACTGTCCTCCCCTATTATTATTAGACAGGAACGGCAGTTCTAGGAGTGGAAGGATGAGAAGAAATAGAGGAGTTGAGGTCTGTAGGAATGCACAGAGTACTTGCTGCCCTTCTTGGTTCTGTTTTATGTCAACCACAAGTTAATATCTTCAGCAGAAACCCTACCATGTGCTTCAGGACTGCTTATACTGCTACTCAAAAGGCCATTTGGTTGTCCTGGTATTGTTATAAGATGTGGATTTGGGCCATGTGTGCTGCAAGCCTTTAATTTCAGCATTCAGGAGGCAGAGGCTGGCAGATCTTTGTGAATTTGAGGCCAGCCTTGTCTACATAGTGAATCCCAGGCCAGCTGGGGTTATATTGTGAGACGCTGTCTTGAAAAACAAAGAAGCAAACAAAAACAACACAAAACAAAATGTATGGATGTACAGGCATGAATAAGACTGTTCTCAAATATGATACAAATGTATGTAAGTAAAATACTGTCTGTTGACAAGGTATAACTAACTAAAATGTTTGCTTTGGGTGCCATTGGAACCCTGCAGAGGACTGCTTAATTCAGCCTGGGGAATTGGCATGTTGTAAAGGAAGTGAGGTCAAGATAATCTTCTAGGGAAGAACTAGAGTGTAGAATAAAGAGTGTAAAAATTTCCCATCTCTGAGACAGACACTCCCAGTATTATAATAGAATCCAAAGAATAAGATTCTTTTCATGTGCTTTGACATTTTCAAGGGATCAGAAACGAGAATAGAAAAAGATTCTTCCATAATGAAGTGCATTTTAAAAAAGGACTGAAGAATTGAATTGTAACTAAATACACTCCTGGTGAGAATTGTAAAGTTTGTATTGCTTTGGCTGAGAGCAGTCAACCATCTGTTAATTTGAATATTTGTGCTTTTAGTCTTCTTCATTTAAAAAAAAAACATATAAAGCACTAAATAGAATAAAAGAAAGAAAGAAAGAAAGAAAGAAAGAAAGAAAGAAAGAAAGAAAGAAAGAAAGAAAGAAATGTCTTTGGCATTTTCTAGTTCGGTAACGGAATTTTCCACCACACCTATAAGTTTATTGAAATAAGGCCAGACCACTGATTTGGATGCTCTGCTAGGACTTTCCTACTTTCTGCTTTCAGCAGCTATAGCAGTTACCTCCTAAGTGACCCAAGTCAACTGTATCCCACTACAGTTGCAGACCCAGACTGGCCACACCACCATTTCCTGAGCACTTTTAGTCTCTATAAATTTGAGACATAATTTAACTTCCCTGCCCCTGCATTCACAAATACCAAATTCCATTTTCCTCCAGACCCAGTCAGTGATGATGCAACACATTCCTTGCTAGTCAACTACATGTTTACTAGCCCAGCTGTCACTCTCTGAGGCCCCAAGATCTAGACTATTTGCTGACATTCGGGGAGGATCAACAAACCCAACACTATTGAGATGTAGCATGAATCTTAAAAGGCCTTATTAATAAAAACAAACCCGGGTATTGGGGTAAATTCTGGAAGATCAGAGAGACAGAACAAACAAGCCACAGCTACCTCACCTTGCCAATTCCTCAGCTGATCCTGTTTCCTCAAACTGGAAACCTTTGTGTCCTCATCCAAATGGGTCTCAGCTGAACTGCTGCTAAAAGCGTAAAAGCTTAACTGATTCTAGTTCCTGGTCCTCACACCTTATATATCTTTCTGCTTTCTGCCATCACTTCCTGGGATTAAAGGCGTGAGTCACACCAAGCCTGGCTGTTTCCAGTGTGGCTTTGAACTCACAGAGATCCGGATGGATCTCTGCATCCCACGTAATAGGATTAAAGGAACTATGCCACCATTTTCTGGTCTCCTTATCTAGTGGCTGTTTCTGTCCTTTGACCCCAGATAAGTTTATTTGGATGCACAATATATTGGGGGACACATATCACCACATTGAGATACTAAAATAGTTATACCATGTGACAGGATTCTAGGCCAGCTTTAATTCCTTCTCTTGGGTTACAACTCTATTTTTAGGCCACCCTTGTAAATGTTTGTAAGAAGGAAACACCGTAACCTTTGGCTTTCATTCTTGAGCAGACACAGAATTGCAAATGGTGTGAAAAAAATCAGTCACCAGTGATGTCTTATTACTTTATGACCTTAAAATACGTATGTTTGAAAACAGAGTTTTAACCTTATGTGGAAAGCAGATCTATGGTGTCAGCAGATTAAATCATTAAGCGAGAGGAAAGAGTTCCTGGGGTCTTGCTGATTAGGAAAATAAGAATTTTGAACTTGAATAGTATATACTGAGGAACAAAGTTTGAATTTAAGCAATATATGTAGCTATACCTTCTGTTTTGCAGTTTATAGAACCAGTTAAATATAATTCTGTCCACCCAGAACATTCCTATGCAACTATTAACATCACAGTTCCCAAGAACATTTGATTTATGGGCTGGGAGATTACCATAAGAGATAAAGACAAAAGACGCAAACCCAATGGACTGAGGTCTGTCTCTGGGCCCTGGAGTCCAAGGATAGAATTCACCTATACAAGTCCTCTGCGCTCTACCTGTACTCTGTGACACACACTACCATATACAACCAGAGAATTTTTGAATAGAAAATGAAATACAGCCAGGCCAGCCAGGGCTATATAGTAAGACATTGTCACAAACAAAATGCAGAAAGAAAAGAAAAAGGGTGGTGGAAAATGCTTAGTCCAGCACTCAAGGGCAGAGCTCAATGACAGCCTGGTATACACTGCCAGTTCCAGACCAGCCAGGGCTGCACTACTGTCTCCAAAAATAAATAACACAATATGTAATTCTACCAGACAAGGTAAAAAGTGTTAAGAAAAAGAATGAAAAACACAAAATGCAAATACATAACTTTAAAAAAAATGAACATTATTTGAAAGCAAACCTATTCATGGGTGAACATTATGCTCAAGTCCTGGGAAAGAACTAGGGCATAGCTCCCAAGACCTGCAACTCTCCTAAGAGACTTTCTGTCGATTGGGGGCCAGTTGGCCTGAGGTTCACTCACCTCCCCAAAGGCCTTCTCTCTGGACAGATTTAGAACAGAGTCCTTTGTTGGAGCGGCCGCTTGCCTCAGCTCTCTAAAGTGTGTTGTCTCAAGTCTCTCCCAACTCCTTTTATACTCCAGGGAGAGGACCTCCCCTCCCTGAAGAATCTTATTATCTCTAATAATTAAATCATTACAATCCAGGAAGGGATAGCAAAGAAAGCAATGTAGCCGGGCGGTGGTGGCGCACGCCTTTAATCCCAGCACTCGGGAGGCAGAGCCAGGCGGTTCTGCGCCAGCCTGGGCTACAGAGTGAGTTCCAGGAAAGGCGCAAAGCTACACTGAGAAACCCTGTCTCCGAAAAAAGAAGAAGAAGAAGAAGAAGAAGAAGAAAGCAATGTTTGGGATCTATGATATAGATGCCACAGGAAAGTACTGTGGATAATTTAGTGTGAGCTCCACTAAGTTTCAATTTTAAAAGTCTTCAAATCTTAGCCGGGCGGTGGTGGCGCACACCTATGATCCCAGCACTCGGGAGGCACAGACAGGGGCATCTCAGTGAGTTTGAGGCCAGCCTGGTCTACAAAGTGAGTTCCAGGACAGCCAGAATTGTTACACAGAGAAACTCTGTCTTGAAAGAAAAAAAAAAAAAAATCTATGCACAACTCGGGAAATATTTTTGCAAATGTATACTCATTTTCTAAATGAAAACCAACTATCATCACTATTATTAGTCAGAATCCTCTATATAGAAACAGAATTTATACAATGAATCTCATAGAAAGGGGATTTTTTTTAGAACAACTTACAGGCTGCAGTCCAGCTAATCCAATGGCTTGCTATGAATGGAAAATTCAAGAACCCAGAAGTTGCTCAGTTCACAAGGCTGGATGTCTCAGCTGGTCTTCATCATACAGTGGAATCTTCAAGTCTCTGCTGTGAGTGAAAGAATGGACTTGCTCTCAAGGTGAGGGCAAGTAGGCAATAAGCAAAAACTTCCTTCTTCCATGCCCTTATATACACCTCCCGCAGAAGGTGTGGCCTAGATTAGAGGTGTGTCTTACGAATCAAAATGCAGATTAAAGGTGTGTGTCTTCCTGCCTCAAGATTTGGGTTCGAAGTGGATCTTTCTACTTCAAATTAAGCAAAAATTCCTTTCAAGTATACCCTCCATTTTTAAATTTTAGTTAATTCCAGATGTAGTCAAGAACCACTTTATTCCTTTATTGACTGTGTGTTTTAAAAGATGGGGAGAAGGTTTTGTTCCAGTCTTAGACCTCTGGGCTAAGTGACAATATTGTCTCAGCCTCCAGTACGGTTTGCTTGTTCTGTGATTCAGAAAGTCTTCACCTTGTAAGGGAGTTCCATGGAACTCAGTATGTAGATCAAGGTGACTGGAGTTTTCGGTGATCCTCTTGTCTCTGCTTCCAGAGGGTTGGGATCAAAGGTGTGCACCGTCACACGCAACCTGCAACCTTCAGATTAGCTGGGAATGAGGGCACACAGCAATGCATTTGGCTAATCCAATGTTTAGCCTTTTTCTTTTCTTAATTTTCTTGTTTTTGTCTGTGTAATTCAGTCAAAGGAAGAGTAATGTTTAACCTTTTTAAAAATTGTATTTCTTCCCTTTTTATACAGGGTCTCACTATGTACCTCTGCTTAGCCTCAAGCTCACCAAGATCTGCCTACCCCTGCCTCTGATCTGCTGCAATTAAAGGTGGGCACAGCCATAGTGGGCCTTATTCTTCATTACAACCCTGTCGCCCAAGACGAGCTTTCTCTGTGAAGCCCTGGCTGTCCTTGAACTCGATCTGTAGACTAGGCTAGTCACAAATTCAGAAATCTGTCTGTTTCCTGAGGGCTGGCTGGTATTAAAGGCATGTACTACCAGGATCAGCTGGATATTTACATAATCTTAAAGTATTACTCTAGAGACAATTATTAATGACAAAGAAAAAATAATTATTTTAGAGAATGAAGATTTGGTAGTTACTATTTTAACAAAAGGGCCAAAGCATTTTCAGTAATGGGAGAAATATATCAAGTGTCTCCTGATCAGGAGAAAAAAATAATTTCAGGGACATTCCTGGCAGATATGTATAACCTGACTCTAATCATGAGAATGTATCAGAAAAACATAAGCTAATGGACCTTGCAATTAGCGTGTACTAATCAGAAACATCAAGATAATAGATAGTAAATACTGAACTACTGAACCAGGCATGGTGAGACATGCCTATAATCCCGGCACTTGGCAGGTAGACACCGGAGAATCAAGTTCAAGGTCACTCTTGGCTACATAGGAAGTTTGAACTAGAATAGTCTACAAGAGAGAAGATCAGATTTTTGTTGTTGTTGTTTTTGTTTTTTTAAGAGAGAGTTTTTCTGTGTAACAGCCCTAGCTGTCCTGGAACTAGCTCTGCAGACCAGGCTGGCCTTGAACACATAGAGATTCACCTGCCTCTGCTGGGATTACAGGTGTGTGCCACCATGGCCTGGCCTGAGTGAGGACCAGTCTTAAAAAACCAGACAGACAGAAGACTGAACTACTGTTGATGAAAGTACAGATGGCTTTCCAAGTTCATCCAGAATTATCTTTTTCTATAAAAACATTACTTGGAAAATTGTGGAGACTCACGTGACTGTGGACGAGCAGATAGAGTTATACTGTTTTCTTAATTTTCATAGTTTTACTGCAGTTAGACAACAGAATATTCTCACTTCCACTTTGAGGGTTATGGGCCTTTCAGGACATTAAATGGTCCAAATCACAGCTGTCACTTACTTGTGACTGGTTAAGTGGACATGATAATGTGTCATATAGAAATAGAGATGCACGGAACATGTATCAGGAAGCTACTAACTGGGGAAACTAGGTGAAAAGTATGTGGAAATCATTTGTATTTTTCTTTATTGGTATTTTTTTCCTGAGACAGGGTTTCTCTGTGTAGCTTTGTGCCTTTCCTGGAACTCACTTTGTAGCCCAGGCAGGCCTCGAACTCATAGAGATCCGCCTGGCTGTGCCTCCCGAGTGCTGGAATTTGTCCGCCGCCGCCACCGCTGCCGCCACCACCACCACCACCACCACCACCACCTGGCCATTTGTATTTTTCTTACAACATAAATTTAAAATACCAATAATTATTTAAAAAATGAAAAAAAAATCTTTGTGACAAGGCTATCGACATTGTTCTTGGGATAGAAACATTTTCAATAGCTCACCATTTAAGTGAGCTAGTGTGTATAACACCTAGAAGTTTCCTTTGTGAAACAGTGGCATTTCTAAGGCATGGGTGGTGGGGAGGCAGTTTACTAAGGAAGAAGAGACTAGTTGAAATGCAAAAAAAAAAAAACAAACAAACAAAAACCTACTAACCTCTAGACTTAAATTTAATCCTGTAAAGGAGTTAACTTAGTCATCTAAAGATGGATAACAAAGGACCGTTGGTGCCTTGTCTACAAAGAGAACATGGAGGGCGGAATGGGCTCTACCTTGCTTGAGTATCTGAGAGAAGCCTGCTTTGTTCAGAACTCTGAATGTGTGAGAAACGGCTAGAGATTAAACTAGATGGAGTTAGGCAGGAGAATGTTTATTACTATTCCTATTATTTTGTTTGTTTTTGTTGTTTGAGACAGGATTTCTCTGTGTAGCCCTGGCCATCCTGGAACTTGATCTGTGGATCAGGCTGGCCTTGAACTCACAGAGATCTGCCCGCCTCTGTCTCTCGAGTGCTGGGACTAAAGGCGTGTGCCACTACGCCCAGCTGAGCATGTTATCACTAATCTCCTTTCACTTGCAGCTATTGCATGGCTTGCCTGACGTCTCTTGGGAAAGCTTTGGGTTTGTACCGTCAATCTTGGTCCCTTGCTGCGGAACAAGTCTAGTGAATGGGCACATTCTCGAGCTCCATGGCCAGAGCTAGTGCACAAATGCATTTGTTGAATGGGCAGCTATTATTGTCCCTGGCTGGTCCTGTTCACAGTAGGAGGTATATGGTGACTATAAGATCACTTATTATAAAGAGCTGTGGGAAGATTAGAATGTAAACAAGGACCCAACTATTTTAACATTACAATTATATCCTGTAATCAATTCCAAGAAGTAAACACAGTATGTTAAGACTAAAGGCAATAAAAAGACCCAAGTAATCAGAAAAGAGAGTGGGACTGGGGGGTCCTCTGAGATGTGAAACTTGCAATTCATGAAGGATGCTCTTGAGCTAGTGGAGACTATAGCTACTCTAGCATTCTCTCTTATTCTCTCATTCATTTACTTTGAGAGAGGATCTCTAGCTCAGGCTGGCCTCTAGCCTCCTATGTGGTCAAGGATAACATTGAACTCTCATTGTTCTGCATTCATGTTTCCAGTGCTAGGATTGTAGGCATGTGTCACTGTTTTTGGTTTTATGAGTTGCTGAAGACTGAACCAGGGAGGTAGAGGCAGGAGGAACAAAGTCATCCTCAACTCCACTGAGAATTTATTTGGTAGAGTGGTAGCATTTCAAAGTAACAGTAATAATCAAAAAGTATTGGAGTTTAGTTGCTACTCATTTGAAGTTAAGAATTGCCTTTCTGAGGGCTTCTAGTTGTTCAATTAAGTATAGAGCCAGGTCAGCAACCTCAAGGTGACATGTGAGAGGTGGCTAGCAATAAAAATCCTAATATTTGAGACGCTGACACTAGTGCTGGGTTCCTTTGCATCTTGAGTTGGAACCTACCAGTACAAATCAAAGATGTGCAAAAGACTGCAAAAATTGCAAATCTGAAAAATTGTCAAAAGCAAATTGATGATTAAGTGGGTCTGGGCTAATGAGCCGGGAGGCAGAGGGACTAATGGATTGAGAGCTGCTCTGAGGGTGTAGGATGTTCCTTTTTAATGCCTAGTTCACTACTTTCATTTCTGAGCACTTTTGGTGTGCTTGCTGTATATCCTTGTTGGGAATACGTTTTCAAAATTACATAGATGGTATTGTGATAAGAGA